AGTGCACCTTCGCCCTAAAGTTCAGGGGTTTGATCCATGCTTGCTCCATTAGTCTTTTTAATAAAAATTATTTTTGTTTCTTTATTGTTTCCTTTTCTTTCTTGGTTATTCGTCCTTAAGTTATTCTTTAAAAAGAAAGTTTTCACTACAAATTTCATGAAATGTAATATTGTAATCCCATTGATCACGCCCAACTCCAGTCCTAAAAAGGATAAGCGGTCGCTGCAAATATAATCTGGTATAAAAGTCCAGAGTCGAATCCCACAAGGAACTAAGGTTTAGCTACAACTGTTTAATATCACTAAGAAGACAAGCTGGAATAAACACGTCAATGGCCATTCAATCAACAACAATAAACACGTAGTTGAACAGGTAGGGATATTCAAAGACAAAATTATATTAAAACGTAACAAGAATTCATCCTCCAAAAGGTTCTATCAAACCCTAGATTAGAGAGTTTAGCTACTCATAATTGTATAAACAATCATAGTAATATTCAAAAGCATTAAACTACATATTAAAGAAGAACGGAGAGAAAAACTCTTGTGGTTCGTGCTTCAGAGTATTCCGTAGTCTTTTGCCTCTCCAATAATGTCCTCTCCCCCTAAAAACTAAGTTTATGAGGTATTTATAAGGTACGGTTGAGGTCTACACATTCAAAAATTGTGAGAAAATAAAAGTGGCTCGGATAGCATCGTCGGCGCAAGGCACTATTAGAGCCACCAATATTTCCTGCGCGAAGCACTGTCAGGGGCGCCAATGTTTCTGCGTCAGGCACTGTCTAGGGCACCAATGACAGTGCCATGGACAATGCCTTGCACTGTCTATGGCCGTGACTTTTCATTGCCTTGCACGTCTTCTTTTATTGCTTCATTTTGTAGCTTTGAGGTACCATTTCGTGCAACTTTTCTCCACTTCATGTCCAAGCATTCCTACACGTAAAATAAATTCTATTAAGCTCAATTGTCGCACAAATTAGCATCCAAACAATAAGAAATTAGGGTAAATAACGTCAAAATATATGGAATTATAACACGACATCACCCATCTTTTTCTCTTAAAGATTATCAAGATTGTAAGTGTTCGTTAAAAAAGAGAACTTCAAAATTGAAAGGTTAATCTCTCAAAAAAGTTTACATTTTGTCAACAAATGAAGTACCAGAAAAAAGATAGTAAAATTAATCTTAAAATTCCGCTACATTCAAAAACTAATAATGCAAATCACATATCCACAAAAAAATAGTACATAAAAAGATCTACGTAATATGATGGATGAAGATTTTAATGAGTTTTAGCTTGCTATATATAACATAAGATATTTAAAAATTGCAACTAATGATGCTATTATTGATATTTTTCAAAGTATAAAAACTCGTTGAGGCCATAAATAATGCTAATAATATTAATTAGAGTTTGCTCGCCAACTTGGATCGTCGTAAAAAAAACATTATGTTGTGAGATCATATGTATTTATCTAAAGATAGCGGCAATCATGCTCTTAAAATTCTCGCCTCTAAATAAGGTGAATCATATTCTTGCAAGAACAAACACGTTCCAAGATTAATTAAGAGATCATTTCCATATATCTGCTTCAGCAATTCGTAGTTTTCTTCTTCACATGTATCATTAAAATCTTGAAGATATTAGTCGGATCCGTTTATGATGCTAAATATATATACTAGAAGCTCTATATATGTTGTCGTTTATAGGTACATAATCATGATTCATTTTATCTGCTTTTGTTTCCACCAAAGAGACAATGAGATTCAATATTCAATAGGAAACCATAGACTGGTTGGTCTATCATAGTAATTTTTAAGTTTCATGAGCTTTTTCCATTCAAGAATGAAAAATTTAGGGGGCAAAAATCAATTCATTGTTACTACACAGACATTCAGCACAAGAATTTTAAAAGCTTCCCAATTTGGCTAATTTGGGATTCCACTTCCTATTGAAACTGAGTTTTAATATCTCTTTCGATATTAAACAAGTGAAACTTTTTGAAAAAAGAAAGAAAAAAGAAAGCGTCTTTCAATTTGTTAAGGGCAGTTCACTGTGCACCAAAAGGTAGATGAGAAAAAAGAAATACATGTAATATTGCCTGGGGCTGCATGAATAAGATCTTTTAATTTTTTAACCAAAATAGTTAAATAATATGATATCGAGAATTCAAAATCTGCGTCATTTTCGTTGACCAAGAATATAATTTCGAACAAAATGAATTTATAGATCACCAATGTCGAGACAAAAATGATGTGTGATATGCAATCTCAATCAAGCTGCAAACTTTTATCAGCCATTTTCTCCCCTTGAAATTGCTATAAAAGAAAAATGATATGGAGAAAACGTCATTTTATATACTATCACCTCGTCATATTCCAAAGATAAAGATAAAGTATGACTTTGGTATTTTTTTTCTTTTGCCTAAATTTTCCAGGCTCATATGCATGCCGCAGCCAGATAAAGACAAAGGGGGACTACCAAAGAACATATAAAAGGTAAAAGATGGAAATAATGTGCACTCATTGAATGCTTTAATGTGCTTATTGTATGGTAGAAAATATTGGATATATTGATTATGATTTTGATTGATCGAATAAAAAGTTGAAGTGAAAAAAAAGAAAAAAGAAAAGGATAATAAAATGATGTTATCATAAGAGTACAATATAAAAAAAATGGGGAGTATTTTGTGGTTGAAAGTGAAAATCTAAATTGATATGAGGATCCCATGAAGTCCACTTTGACCAATGAGATTACAAAATTAAGGGCCACACCACATACTTTAGTTTTGCAATCAATTTCCAGCTGGAGGGATCTCCGAAAGTGAATGAATTATTGGAATGGATAGTGTTCTTGGTAAAATGGATTATTATGGGAATCAATATTTTAATTTTGGAATTCTTTTTTTCTAGTTTGTAAGCAAATCAATCATAATAATTTAGGCTCCCAAAGTTATTTTAGACTTTGACAGCTCCTTCATTCCCACTGAGCTCACATATGTGAATGAAACTTTGAGTGATCTTGAATTGGCTTGTGTCTTTGTTTTCACTTATTACTTTGTGAACTTTGTGGATTATATGGACCCTTATTCTGCATAATTGTTGGAAAATGGAAGTGAGAACAGATTCTGAGACTCATTGCCAAGATATTTCAATACATCACATTTCCTCTTCAAACCCCCCTTTACCTTTTTGTCATATTCAATTCTTACTTGTGCATCAAAATCCAGGATCTAGAAGGAACAAGTGTAATAACTAACTCCACTCAGAATTTCATGTTCTCAACATTCATTATTGGATGAATCAACTGCAAAGATTAAAACTCACTATCAACAAGATTTTAAGGACCAGGAGTTATCTAATCCCACTTTAATGCATGCAATGAACATAGGCTAACCATTCTTATTTCCAAGTTAATGCACCTTACACTAAGTTTTCAAGAGATTATAACTACTAACTAGAGCCTCTCAACACTAGAGATGTTGTATAACATCATCCACTGATTTCTCATATATACTAAATAAATATAAAGGGGCATCCATCCCTCAGGAAACTAAAAGTGTGAAACTCATATCTTGAAAATTTTCATGAAACTGTCAAATTGCTGTAACATTGAGTTCGAATATGCTCCCAACTCCACAAACTAACTCCAATTCACACTTATTAGAAACAGCAACTTAGTGACCGAGAAATACTATGTAAAATTAACATGAAATATTTGAAACCATAAGTTTGTGACAACCTTGGGTTGAGATATACGATCTAAAATCCTAAAACTAAATCAAGTTCTCATTTCACATTTATTAGATGGACAAACAGCATTTTTCATGGCTTCCTAAGTCAAAAAGTATCTAACTTCCTTTAACCACAAAACCCTATTCTCTAGAAACACATACATCCCAACAGGGGGCAAATAGAAGAGAGCTCACTCAACTGGAAAAGAACGACAACTGTGGGGGATTTGCATCTATACCCAGTTTTTGGGTCACATTTTAACTTATACCCGCTTTGCAAAAGAAATTGCAAGCGTAGTCATTTTTCGGGTAACTTCAGACATACGGGCCTGAAGTAGCAAAAATTTATGTCTGAAGTTTGAACTTCAGAATGTTTTACCTGAAGTGTAGCCTTATCAAAGCAAAACTTCAGATATTTTTACCTGAAATTTGGCCTGACTTGCAAAGGTAATCACGCAAACTTCAGTTCATAGTGCAATGACAAACTTCAGTTCAATAAAACTAAATCATGTTTTGGCTGAAGTTTTTGTTTTGTAATTGCTGAAGCATTCTAGGAGCTGAAGTTTTATTTTGTATTTGCTGAACTTCAGCATTCTAGGAGATGAAATTTTTGTTTTATATTTGCTAAACTTCAGCAGTCTTAGATCTGAAGTTGTGTTTTATCTTTCTTTGAAGTTAGATGGCTTTAAAATGTAACTTAAGTTAAATTATACTGAAGTTTTAACTGATTTTTTTGATAATGTTCTGAAGTTATTTTTCTTATCTTTTATTTTTCAGTTCTGCAGCCCTTTTTTCCTACAGATGATTCACATGCATGTGCCATTCTTGTGGCAGGTAACTTGGAAGAGAGGACATGTCGTAGTCAGTTGTTGTTGTATGTTTAAGAAGGATGGATCAAGAAAAGACACAAATCACACCTACTTTAACCAGCTTGTGGAGTTTTATTTACTCGTCCTTCAACATAGAATATGGTAGTTGATAAGATTTAATAAAAACTTTACAGATCCAATCAATAATACTTATACAAAGTCTCATGTGTTTGAGAGAGAAAAAAAGAAGAGGAAAATAAGAAGAAGAAAGGAGCGCATAGGTCAGGAGGAAGAAGAGGAGGCGCCTGAAGTTGTCAAAATTAGGGTATAGGTTAAAGAATTTTAAAAATATGAGTATAGATTAAATGGGGGCGATCAAATAGGGCGCCCCGTGCAATTTTTACAATAACTGTTGAGCTAGGCCTAGTGATTCTTATTCTTTTTTTATCAAGACTAGCTAGGCCCAATTATTAAATTTCATAATAGAAGTAAAGTGTATGTTACATAGACTAATAGCATCCCTATACCTTTAACATAAATTAAAGGAACATTTATCCTTCCACAGAAGCTTCTAAAAACATTAGCAGAATACCTTATGAACTGATGTAATGGTTGAGGTAATATGGTACAAAGAAATGGCATAATCAGAACAGTTACATTTCCGGCCCCAACGTATTCCCGTCAGAAGAAACCAAAAGAAGTAAATTTAGTAATATTGAGAAAACTGGGAATACCAGGGAGGCTGAATCAGCACTTTCTCAAGTTTTGAATTAACTCAAGAATTAGAATGCAATAGGACCAACTGGTCCTTGGAAAATTGAACTGGTCCCTCATGTTTTCATTTCATCAACAAACCAAACATCGCTCTTCATGCCCTCTGTTGATATGTATTTTTATGAACCGGAACCCCTGGTCCATATATTACACGGCAACGATCATGGAATGAACCAACTAGTCTAGAGACTACCTCCTTAAAGAACATGTTTGCTACCTGTGAAAGAACAATGCACCCATGGCTTTTAGTTAGTAAGTTAAGATAACACACCTTAACTAATCAACTGAAAAAGAAAAGGAAAAGATAAAACAAGGTTTCTGAAACTCCGAGACAAACTTTAGTACAAATTACAGCAAAAGCAAAATCAACTTCTATAAGTAAAATCAACACTCAGATTTTTCATTGTTGAGGTGCCTCTAGTAAACCAAATACCAAACCCAGCCTAAACAGTTCAACTTTCAGTCACTCAAATAAAAATTCACAGGTACAGTACTTAATAAAATACGTAACTATTTAGGTAGCTGATGTTACCAACTTGGAAGAGAGAATTGGCTTATATCCTGATTTATCAAACCAAACAAACAAACTCTGATAAATAGGTGGAACATCATCCAGATTACTGCAAACAAGTGTCAAATCCTCTTATAAATTCACTCCCAGAAGAAAAGAATGGGAAGAATGCTGGAGCTGAAGGTGGGATCCATCTGCTTCATACCATCAAGACAACAACTGAAATGGCTTAGCGCCTCAAAAGGATGAAAATGGTACCGAGCACCAAAATAGTACCAAGAAGATGGATTATTTCTAGTGGCTTTTATTAGACGTAACCATCAACAGAGGAAAATGAAACACATACTTCCTAGATAAAATATGAAATTAAGAAGCTTTGCACTACAAACTGAAATAATGGTCTAACTGTGGTGCAAGAATGATATCAAGCACCAAGATAGTAACAAACAAATGAACCATCACTAATGCTTTTCTTAGTTAAGATAACATAATCAACATAGAAGGAAATTAATCCCATATGCCCAACATTAATTTATGGACACTGACGCTCACAATTTAAGGCCATTTTCAGCCGCTTATCCCCAGTGCCCCAATAGAAAAACTGAATGCAACTTATTAGAGTACAGCCACAAAAATTGCATCCTTCCCCATATACTTCCCTTTTGTCCTACAATTTGATGTATCAGCTTATATCATGCCAAAAATAACCAAACAATGTGGATTTACATACATAGAAGGTAGGTAGTAAATATTGAGCAACATGCTTCTGCTACTGTAGTGGTAATAGATGAGTCACAAGCCATGAAATATAATTTAGGAGGTCAAAAGATTGAAGCTTTAGTGGATTATTTTCGCGCAGAGACAGGAGTATGAAAAGTGATTTACTTGATGGTATTCAAAATGCATTCCATGTAGTAGAAGGAAATGATATTTTCAACCCCCGAACTCATGTAGTTTGATTCTTTAATGCATCAATCAGATGAAGAATAAATTTGGAATACAGGGACAAGGCAGGTCTATCTCAATACAATAAGCTAATCACCTAGTGTACCTCAGTCAAGCAAACCCCAAAAGTTTTCCACCATGCAGCAATGTAATTAGTATCTTCTGAATATTGTTACTGACATAGTAAAATGGCGAAGACGTCAAATATTGTACTATGTCGAAATGGAATCTTTACCTGTCGATATAATGGAGATTGAAACTTAAAATCCACCAAAAAGTGAAGGTTACAAGATCCTGGAATTGGTCCAGGGTTGAACTCCCAGATGTTAATCAAATGATCAAAAAGGCCAGTATCGGTAGCAGTTGTCTGCAACAATAAAAAAAAGTATATGTATGAAAGAAAGGCGAATTAGATAATCCAGAATGGTCATTAGAGGTAAAACCATCCGGATTACTTGATCTAAAGAACAGATACTCGTTGATAATACCTATATCCTAAAGCTTTAGAATCTAATTGACACATCAAACACATTTAAATTCTTCTTTAAAATATATAATAAAGGATAGTAACCTATCATCCAAGAACCCCAAAAATGGACCAAGTAAAAAAGCATTGTGACCCTCCCACCGCCTTAATTTAAATCCCTATCCTCAACATGCTACTTACAAGACACCTGTTAATGGCATAAGAAGCATGACCCATGAGTTTTTGGTGGATGCATGACCTGGTGTGTTCTCTTCTTTTGGTACTTTCCCCCGATAGATGCTCTGCCACTCGGTGAAAGCGTATGACGCCAAGACACAGATAGGAAATATTCCCATTTTTTGTTCTTTTTTCTTGAAATCTTGTTCAGATGTTAAAATCAATTATATGTAATATCAAGTCAAACTTCATAGTAATACGGAAGCCCGAAAAAACCAAGGCCTCAAATGCCAAGGAAACAACATGCAGAGAAACGGAAATGACGGACGGAAAGGAAGAGAAGCCATACTGCCTCTAACCTACTCAATCTTTCTGCTCTTATCAGTTCTATGTGTGCTTCTAGCATGTTCTTCTACACTTCTAACTTTCTGTTTTGTCTGATTCTTTCAGTTTTGATGTCTCATTATTTTTTAAATGAAGATGTTTCATTCAAAAAGCATCAAGAAGATGCAAAGTTACAAAAGGACAAAAGTAGCATTGCAGCTGGCTTTACATTGTCACTCTAGAACTAGGGAGCTAACAAAATCCATTGATGTCTCATTTTGTTAGCATACGCTCTCCTTCACATTAGCAATACAAATTGGGATTCTATCGCCATACCTCATATTTTCTAAACAGTTCATCGACAACAACAATAACTACACCTTAATTCAAAACTAGCAGAGTCGCTCATATGAATCATCAGCTTCATTTGTGTTTTTCTTTTGTTCTATTCGGCACCCAATCTTAGTCTTTCAAGGCAAATTAGGGTTCTCTAAATCCACAGGTATACATGCACTAGGTCTCCCTACACTGATCTACAATCTCTAACCAAAATAAAAGCTCCTGTCAAATACCGGGCCTAATCTAAGTTTACAAACAACGACTAAACCTTGATCCAGTTGCTTGAAATCGCACTAGTTAGAATCGCCTATATGGATAATTTCCTAGATCTGAATGGTTTCCAAAAGATTGCAAGTCGTTTTACAAAACTTCCCTATCTCATCTAAAAGCATGGATTGAAAAAATAATGTTCTTTATGGAAATAATGCTTTTTTAAATAGTACTTGTCCCACGAAAAGATGTGCAATTCTGAAGTTGTAGATTTACTAGCGTTTACACTCCCCCCATCAAAGTCCAACTTCTCAAGAATAAATTCAATGCCAGTTTTTTAGTTATGCTTGTCTCCTTCCATTGACACTCGTAGCTTCAATTAGAAGTCATAGCGACAAATGAACCAACTCTTAATTGATATCCTCCACTCAAGTATTAGCATGATTTCAAGAATGGAGATGCCACTGATCTTACTAAGATCCGGGTGATATCAATTCATGAAGATACATAGAATAACTATTGTAAGAAAAACAGTAACTGAAACATTTTAAAAGAAGGAATATCGAACTAGATTGAAAGAAATGCTAGATAAGCTTAACCAAAAGAAATTTAAAAACTAATAACAAAAAAAAATATATGGGTCAATGTTACCTTGATATATTTTGGTTTGTTTAGTTCCACATGAGACACATAACTCTCGACGAGAAATTTGAAGCCAATTTCTAGCTCAGCATCAAAAGATCCATCTGGATGGCGTCTTAAAATCTCCGACCTTTGGCACCAGGGGAGGAAATCCTCGTACAAGTCAACAGCAGCAACTACAGCATATAACTGCTCTGGAGAGTATCTAATAATAGTGAAATAAGTTAGCATTCAAGTCCAGCGACTTCTCTGATAGCAGTAGGGGATTGAAAGGCAGTTTTTGCATTTCAGGAGTTGAAATGACGATTGTTATCTAGAAGGAGTAATCAGCATGGATCTCAAGTAAATGAAAGTCAAACTGAGTTCGCTTCCAAATTTCACAAAAGAAGAACAAAAAATACTGAGCATGCAGAGCCAATCATCAACTCTGCTGAAAATTTTAGTTGCTGAAATGCCAAGGTTTTCTTGTGTTTCATATAGTAAGTAGCAGTGGAAGTGTGGTAGGTATCTTTTCCTCTTGTAGCTCAAGAAAAAATTTGACAGCAACGAGTGACTCTTCAACAGCTATACTTTTTTAACCATTAAAAAGTTTGAAGAGTAAAAACATGTTGAGATCAAGTTCTACACCCATAAAGTGCATCCTCATTAATTCTTAAGCTGGAGGAGTAAATTGCTGACTTCAAGGAATTGGAATTAATATTTTTAATTTGCTCTTCATTATTCTCTAACTAAAGACGTAAGTATGTTATTTTATTATGTTTCCTTTCACTACTTATCCTTCATGTAAATTACAGAAGATGGGGCCTTTCATTGCCACATCTGTTACATGTCATATGTTATTTTCCCTTTTCCCTGTAAATACCGCCGTTTACTTTCATTTCTTGTGACATTGTGTGAATATCAAATTTTTATGCTCCATTACTGCAATTGAGGCTAACAGACTCTTTTTACCAAAGGGTAACCGACTAACAATTGTACTTTCTTGTCTATTCAGGAAACAATTAATCACATGGATCTCTTTTAAATAGCCTCCTCTAAGATGATTGCTCGTACAAAATTAGGTTAGGAGTGGCAAGGCTTGGAGGTGGTCTGAGTTGCTATTGGTACGTGCTGGGCTGATTTAAGACGGCAAAAAACTTGGTTCTGCCCTTGATAAAAACAGAAAACAAAGGAGCAAGAAAACCTTTGGCCTATGTTGACAAGGCATGTTTTCTAGACAATTGTAGCTACAACTTATAAAAATGTAGTCTCCTGAGATCTTTCTTTATTCTTGAGAAGTCAGACGGCACAGAATTGTGGATCACCAAATGAGAACATTAGTGATTGTACCAATAAACCATAAATTTATGTTGGATATAAGAATTATGATAGTGGTTGAACAAACTGTGTCAAAGCTTGAAAGAGTGTTTGTAGCCCTAAATATAGTTGTCTAGACAGTTTGACGGAAAAGCAGAGCATACAACATACCAACATGGGCAGTCCCCCAACAATTTCAATGATATACATAATCATCTAAATGCATCACAAGGATCATACTAGAGCTATACGACATGACTTACCTTTTTTTATAAGGAGCTATACGACATTACTATACACATGTTACTAGACATATCTATAGTGCTAATAAAGCTCAAACACCCCAAAATAACTTCTTGATTTGGTGTCGACACTAATTAAAATTGTCCTTTTCGATGTTCAGTTACAATGTAAAGATCATGCTTGGAACCTGGACTTGCTAATGACAAGAACAAAAATACATGGAATTGTTTTTCTCTCGCTTGGAAGCCGAAGAAAATACGATGTAAAAAAATTTTGAGAAAATGGTGGGATAAACTAAGTTATGTTTTGAAGGGAATACTTTCTTTGGAGAAGGGTGAGACAACAACAACAACAACTATGCCTCAATCCCAAGCAAGTTGGGATCGGCTACATGAATCCTCACTAACCATGCTCAACAATGTAATAAGAAAAAGTTTATCACAAAGTAATACTTCACTCTTTTCTTCCGTTTTCTTTCCCTTTACCCAATTAGTACTCAAAAATTCTAAGAGTTGTATATTTACCTTTTTATTCTTCTTTTCTTTCAATTCATCTTACATAATTGGCACTTAATCCCTTGAGAACTGTACCTTTTACATTTATTCTTCCCTTTCCTTCTTTACTTTCCATTCATCTTTCATGAAAGTTGGTACTTAAAGCTTAGGGGATTGTTCACTTACTATTCTTCTTCACTCTCCGTATTTTTTTCATTCACCTCACCTCACCTAATTGGTACTTAAAGTTTAGAAAGTTGTATCTTTACTTTTCTTCTTTTTTTTCCCTTAACCTCAATTGGTACAAAAACTTAAAGGTCGCACCTTCACTTCTTCCTTCATCCCACTTTTCTTTCCATGCATTGATCTAACCAATTAGCAGATGAAATTAGATAATTGTAACTACAGTTTTCCCTTTGTAGTAGTCCAGACTGAACATACAATCCCTTAGGTTTTGCACATGTATATCGATTTATATCTATATGTATCTTACACATATTATTTATTTGCTCACCATCATATTTTTCTCAAAAATGGGAGAGAAGATTAAAAAAGGAGGAAATTAAAAAAATAAGTCACAAAACACAAACTTTACATCAATAATAATAAAAATAGTACAAACTTTACATCTTCTAAAAAACATTTCACTTAGCATTGGATGTATGTTCGTTCGTCACAATAAAAATCATCGTATTAACATAGCATATCTAAACACAACGAATGAATTAAGAACTCAAATTTATCATTCCATTCTACAAATACTAAAATAAATCATGGTCTCGCGTGCCATAATGGAATGTACAGATAATCATAAAAGCTGCAAATTGTAATTAAGGACTTACCCCAAGACACGCCTCTCCTCGTGTACTTTGGATAACATATTCCCCTCTTCCCCATCACCGCAGCCTAAAAATCCTCTGCTTTGAATTAAAGGCCCAATCCTATAAACTTCTCCCAACGACGACGATGAAGGCTTAATGAGCTTGCTACCAGCATCATAACAACCAGGAACAAATGAAGGAACACCAGCAATGCCACTCGAGCATCGAACTTGAACATTATTCCCTAATCCCCAACCACAATTATCAATCCCCGCTCTTTGTTTGAACACGTGGCGATGCGTAACTAAACGCCTAATTGCCTTCGATGTTGAAACAAACGACCGCATTGAAGAAGCAATTATTAGAATTACAAAAATATTTTAAAAATCCTTTTTCCCCTCTTTTTTTGGTGCTTTTGATGGAATTAGAATCGAAGGCAGACACTACCGGATGCCCTCATAGAGAAACAATATTGGAATTGCTGCTGATGATGAATGATTGAATTCTTGACCTAATCTGTGAAAATTAACATATAATTTAGCTGAGCAATAAACAATAGAAGGAAAAAAAAACTTGAAGGTGGAATTGGTGACGGAACCCTAATTGAAGCAGAAGAAGAACGTACCAAACTGCGGATAATTCAGAAATTTAGGAGGAGAAACGAAGAAAGGGGAATGATTCAATGTGAATATACAGATTTCAGGCAGAAAACGAAATGGGAAGGTATTTAGTTAATTTATTTATACTTGTTCGTGACGCGATGGAAGCCTTCCCCTCCACCTGTGATTTTTCGCCTCTAGTTTTTTGGGACTCGTGTCCTCCTTTTAGGGAATTTTTGGATTTCGTAGTTTTGAATTTTCCTTCTTTTTTTTCCATTAAAAAGGGCACTTATTCGTCAATAAGTTAATTTGGATATCCGTTCAAAAGCTTGGTCAATTTGGGTTGCCGTCGAGAAAACAGTAATTTTACCTAACTGTCATAATTTAAAAGAAATATAATAAATTCGTAACATAAAATTCAATATTACAGTTGTGACAGAAAAATATTTATATTTATAGCACACAGTTCTACTAAAATAGGAATATTAATTATTAATCTCTAAACATAAGCAATTTGAATGGAAAGTCAATAATTCTTTGTACAAAAATCATGCATTTTTTTCTCTTTATCTATTAGTTTTCCTTCTTTTTCTTCATCTTCTTAATTTTAATTTCTGCCGAATCCAATATATTTTCTAAATTTGTTCCATTCGTTTTCTTTTTAATTATCTTTCTTAAGTTTTTCTCTTCCTTCTTTCTTCTTTTCTTAACATAAAGATCTTACTTCGATAATAATATACGTTAATATATACAAAACGTATATAAAAATTATATATATTGAATTAACACATATAAAATATACAAAAAATATACATAAAAAATATATCTTCAATTAAGATGACACTTAGACATGTGAAATATACATAAAAAATATATATCTTAAATTTAATTAAGATGTCATATAAATATACAATATATATAAAAATACATCCTGAATTAAAATGGCACTTGACATATAAAATATATTTGAAATATACATTAAAAATACATCTTAAAATAAGATGGCACTTCACAATTAAATATACAAAAATTATATACATAAAAATATATTTTGAATTAAAGTGATACTTGATATACAAAGTATAAAAGACGTATAAATCAATATATCTTGAATTTAGGTGGCATTCACATATGCATCAGATTTTAAAAAATGGAGTGAAGAAGATGAATATTGGGCTTAATTTTTGTAATATGCTAATAATGAAGAAAATAAAAGTTCTCTTTATGGAATAAACAATAAATGATGCTATTTTTTTAAATAATAGTTACAAAATGATCAAGTGTGTAAGAAACTCTTTTCTTTTTGTTTGATTTGTAGGATTTCCTCAAAAACAATTACATGCACTTTGTTTATAGGGAAAAAAAACTTTTTTTTGTGCATTTGTACACTAATAAAAACTAGAGCAAACATATACCTAGCCCATTAATTGGGTGAAATCATTTTTCCTCTCGAAATTTGTCTTAAAAATTAATCTCCCCTAACTTTCAATATTAGGCATCTTCCCCCCTTACATCAAACCCGGCCATTAACCGGTAGCTTTAAAATATTTGACCAGTCACTATAGGGGCAAATTGTAATTTTATTTTTTCATTTTATTTAGTCGGGTGCCCTAATTAATTATATACCTTGTTATCTTTAGTATTCTTTTAACTCTTGTTAATTGCTTCCTGAAGAACCAATAGAGCTTTCAAGCACGGTAAGTGTTTTGCTTCTTTTACTCACCATTAATTGTTCCCCGTGTTTATTTGCCTTGTTTCCTCAAATTATCATGATCTTATGTTTTAAAAATCAAGAAAAGCTTTAAATTTTTCAAATAGGATTAAGTAAATGAACCCTAAAGTAGTGACAGTGTCCGATATTTGTGGATGCTTTGGATTATTATGTTACATTATTGTATCAGTAACGTATAATTAAGTTGTCCTTTTTATACTAGACATCGTTGTTTAATTTTCTTAAAAGATCAAACTCAGTTAATCAATTGCTATTATTTCAGGGATGTTTTTTACCTTAACAATACATTGTCTTGGTAATTACTATCAAGTCTTTAATGTAGATGACAATCATTATGGATTACTAGATTTATTAGAAGACGCTCACAATGCTGTGTAACGGGAGTTCCGTCTACTTGGTTGGGGAAACCTACTTCCATAGAAGCTATTCATCCGATTAGTGGTGTTACAATAAAAGTGATTGGTGATAATGATTTAACGATATTGTTTAATATGTACAAGGATTTGGGTATGAGAGAGGTTAATGTAAATTTAAACATAATAGATGAAAAACTTGATGAAGTTGAGGGTGAAAATTTTCTATGGACTGATGACGACGGCGAGAAAAATATTGTTGAGAATACAAAAGTTCACTCAGATCATGACTCATATTAGATCCTACCAGATTTGTTCATCCTTTACTCACTACAGGTTTTTATGTGAAGACTTATTCTAAAAAGATCAATCCAGCTCCAGATGAGAGCAAATGGCTAGTTGTAGATCACCCTATTGTGCACCCTCCCGTAGAAAAAGAGAATAAGAGAGGTAGAAAATCAAAGAAAAGGAGAAGATAATTAGACGAACAACCAGCAAAAAAGAGATCGGTTCATTGCACCTGCAAGATATGTCATCAAATTGGGCATAATAGTAGATTGTGTGGGAAAAAAATATCAAGTACAAATGAGGGAGAACTTCATTAGTAAGTTAATTACTTTTTCAATTTTCAAATTCAGAATTCCTAAATTAGAAAATAGTTTCTTTTTCATGTTTTTAAGTTTGGTTTGCAAAATTCTTTCTGTTTTTTCTATTTAGTATGGCAAGGAATTGGTGGAAACTTTTCATTCAAATAAGTACTAAGTATTTTCATATTTCTAAATTTGCAGGTTTCATTCTGTTCTTGGATATACATATGAAGTGAAACATCTATTTGTTGGGATAATGCATGACTAGCTTAATGACTAAATAGAAGACTTCATCACTTTTGGGGGGATTTTTTCTCCAGCCATTTGAACTTAATTTTTAAGTATATTATTCCCTTAAGTGAGTATGAAAAAAATCATTTGGAACTTAAATCTTGTTATTTGATTGATTGATTGTATAAACCATGTGTCTTCTCTAGTTTGCAAGCTCAATATTAAATATCTTGTTACAATATAGATGTACAATAATGTTTACTTTCAAAATAGATAACAATTGAATTTGTTAGTGGGTTAAAGATTATGCAGATTAACTTGATACAAAGCGATAAATTAGATTGTAATTAAAATAAATAATGATAAATTAACCGTAAACCACATGAATTGAATGATTTCAGCTTAGGTAAGCAAGCCACCCTTGAAATGAATACACTTTTGTTGACACAAAGATACCAAAGAGTAAGAACTCAGAGAATGTATTGCTTATCAGTGTATGTTACTCTCTCCCTAATGAATTGTCAAGTCCCCTTTATATATTAGGAAAGATCTACCTTTTAAGATATTATTTTATTGTTCTATAAAAGGCAAAAGTCCTTGATTTGCTGACCGTTGGTTCCCTTTTTGAGTCGTACCGTAATTTCTGCCGTAATGACTGGTTAATGGCGAGAATTACAAATTCCTGTCGGATGAGTTGGCAAAGCTTTCTTCGAGGCCGTTGGAAACATGACTAGTTACGCCTTCGATAAATTCGAGGGCAAATGTGATGGTTTCGATGGCTAACTTTGACAATGCTTTGGGTTCGATCTTAAGTACCATGTTTCAATATTTGGCCGATCGTGTGGGGAGTTAGATCGATCTTTGAGGTCGACTTCACCCGATAACAGATATTTTGACCCTGGCCTAATCAGGGAGTTCGTAAGCTCGATCGAATATCGAGCTTGGTTTTACCTGTATATAGATAGTCCCCTTATTTTTTGAAGAGTAGATGACGAGAAACGATACGAGCCTCAGATTCTCATTTCGATATATCATGACGCAAGTGACAAAAATATGGTATCAAATCCCCTTGTTTTTCGGGGAGTAGATGATGAGAAACGATACGAGCTTCCGATTCTCACTCCGATAAATCATGACGACGAATTCATGACGTAAGTGATAAGAATAGTTGAAACGTCCCATCGGTCCAGTTTTCAAGGCATTAAATGTGTGTCAGTTAACGCTCGGCCGCTACAAGATGCGAACTGCCATTTGAGAAAACTATAAATACCCATTTCATCCATTCATTAGAACTTTTACATTCAAACATTTGCTCTTGTGTTTTAAGAAAGCTTCATCACTCTCATCTTCTGGTTTTCTGAAAACATAAGTTTAAAACTTCTTCCCTTCTGGTTTTCTGAAAGCTTTCATAAGTTATCTGCTAATTACACCTCCTCTCTTATCAGTACCTTCTTTTGTCCGCTATTTAGAAGCAATGGCAAAGACTTTAAAATCCGTTCCTCAGAAAGAAAACCCCTCTTCCTCGAGACCGTCTGAGAATGTTTTGCCTACTGTCACTGAAGAACCAACACCAGAGCCCCCTCTAAAGATGTTTGTCCCTGTAGGGTGTCCAACCGGAGCCGATTTCAAGGTTGAGAAAACCTCCTCGGTACCGGGTCGGTACGAGTCGGTCTCGAGGTACATATGTTCGGTCACCGACAGTGTCCTCGAGAAGGTCAAGGAGGATTGCAACTGGGACGATAATCTTGTAGTGGTCCCTACCCCCGAGGAATAGATCATCACCCACGTGTAGGGTTTTTTAAGTTTTTACACTTACCCTTTTACGCTGGGTCCTTTAGATCCAGTCATCATCGCCTACTATAAGAGGTACGAGGTGACCCTCAATCAGATTCATCCTTCGTTCTGGAGGATAGTAATTCTTTTTCGCTTCTTCGTGAGCAAGGTCGAGGGATGTCCCTTCACCATCGACCACATTATACGCCTGTATAGCCCCCGGCTCTACCGGGGGGATTAATCAAGCTTGCACGTCGGGCCACTAAGGCCTCTTTTTCGAGCATCGATGAGGATCGGGATCGAGGCTAGTTGGCTCATTTTGTCTGAGTGAAGACCTCGGATTTGATCCCAGCCGAGCATATGCTATTTCCTGAGAAGTGGAATATGAAGCGTAAGCATAATATTGCTTTTAAGATTTCGTTCGATGTTTTTTTCTTTCCCTCCCCTCTCATCTATATTTTGCGGTGGTACAGTTATTGCTCGGATGTAGTATGCGGTTCCTCGACTCAAGGAATGGGTCGAGGGCATCGTGAAATAAAGACCTTATTCCG